TGGCCAGAAGGAGGAGGGGCTAGCCTGCAAAAGATACCCTCCACTTACTAAAAACAAGGACAGAAACATCAAAATGCAGGCATCTGACTAACATCTCCAATTTTTTCTCATGTTTGGTTTGTAGCATCTTGCCTGATGAAGAAGCCAGTGGAGCTTCAAAAGCTTGCAAGAAGTATATTGTGCATTTGCCAATAAAAGTATCACTCTTTGGTGGATTTTTATTTGTTTGTACATGTATACACAGTCTGCATTTCTGCAATGTAATCCTGTTAGTGTGAAGGCAGTAATGATTCTTAGTTGCTCATTAGTACTATATGCATGCTGTGGTGTATTTCTGCTTTACTCCTGCAGATGTATGTGTTCCTGTATATATATTTGCTTTTGTGCAAAGAATCAGGCAGAACTCAATGCTTTCCTGCTATATGTAATGTCTTTTCTCTGTCTGTGTTGGGAATCTGGTATCTTTCTGTTTGTTTTGTACTGGTATAAGTAGATTTCAATGAATTCTTGTTGTGCAGCTTGTGGCCAATTCTTTTATTGGTTATTGGTATATAAATGTGTTTATCCTCTCTGTCTAGTCTTTTCCCTCAGAGGTTTAAAACTGGGACCATTCCAACTGCAGAATGCACAGAACTTTAGTCTTCTATCTAATGGGAATCAATAGAAACAAATATGTGTATTATGATTTATTTGTTTTATGCAGGTTCTGGATTCCAACATCACCACTACCATTCTCCAGACATTATTTTAATATGTAACTGGACACATTGTGTGAAACAGGAAAATAAAACATGCAGTAGGAAACAGGTTTTTGTGCAGGGGCCAGTATGGACTATTATCAGTAACAAGGTAGTTTCTTTAAAAACAAGAAGGATAAAGAAATAGAAAATAAAAACTGTTGTTAGAGTTCAGTATTTTAAAACTAATATTATACCATTAGTATATTATTGGGACAAACCATCTGACTGCTCCAAGGATGCAAACTTGGTGTTTTATTTTGGATCCAGTTGTGTTGGTATAGGCATTATCAACTGCATCCAGTTCTCCTTTCAAGCCATGGCTGTAGGGTTTACTGACACCTAGAAAGTATCTAGTTCCACTACGAGATTTTTGCAATGACTTTCAGTACTAGACAAATTTTGTCAATTCCAGTTCAGTCTACATTGCCATCACATCTGAGAGATAGTTCTAACATATCTTCAGTTAATGTCTTGGTGAGGTTGTTTCTGTCTCTTTCTACAATGCACTGTGTAGTGATGCAAAATAGCATGTGGTGCCAGGAAGGCTAGAGGAAAAGCATCTTCCTGGTGACAGGCTCCTGGCTTCTTGTGCAGTAAGAGAGAAAAAAGCTTAGATTAAATCCTACTACTTCCATGTCTATCTGACACTTTCTTGAAATTCAGTTATAAACCATCAATTTGAAAACATCTCTTTTCCATCCCTCCTCTTCCCAGTGGTGGTGGAGTACTCATAATGTGAGCAACACCATTCAGACTCTTATCTTCCATATCCTAAAGTAATCAACTTTCCCACAGTGGTCAGCATGTGCTGTCAGTGTATTCATATTCATGCTTTGTGTATGTTCAATTGCTCTGTTAGATTGCTTCTGTTAAAAAACAGAAGCTCAGAGTTAAAATGTAGCAACTGGTTGCTTTTAAAAGTAGTCAAGAGATATCCCTCCGCTTTATCCAAGGTAGATATTCCATAGTCAGAGCTTGGAAGAAGAATACTCTTCTGTTTTCAACTACAACTTCCAGAGTCCCCAGCCAGCAGAAAGTGGCTATACTGACTGGCATAAGAGAAGGAATCTCAGCTGCCCATAAAATAATGTAGCCTTTCCCACCCTGTATCCACTTGTGACAGCCTCCATCTGTTGTTATTTGTTACGTGCCTTCAAATCAGCTTTGATTTATGGCAACCCTCTGAATGAGTGCCCTCCAGGAATCCTTTTATTACCAACCCAGCTCAGATCTTGCACACACAAGGCCATGATATCCTCCATCAAATCAATCTATCTGCAATATAGTCTTCTTCTACCGCCTTCAGCTTTCCCAGTGAGTCAAATTTTCTCACAATATATCCAAAGTATGATAGCCTCAGTTTAGTCATTTGGTTTGGAATGAGAATTCATACTGATTTGCTGCAGGACCCATTTATTTTCAAAAAACCAAACTGAAGGGTTCTGCCAAAAAATATACATCCAGGATAAAATAATCCCACTTCCAATTACAAAAAGGCAACAATATGCTGAAATAAAAGAATAACTAAACCCTGGAGCAGAAAAGCCAGTAGAATTTCTGAAAGGGTAAAAATACCCCACTGAAAAGTATGCAAATGCAAAAAGTAATTATTATGATAATAAAAATTTCAAAACTCAAGGCCAAAAAAAACCCTGAACCCTGAAGTAGCTAAGTCAGTAAAATTTCTAAAAGGGTAATAATACCCCACTGAAAAGTGTGCAAATGCAGAAAATAAAATAATATAATAATAGTAAATAGTAAAAACTCAAGGCCATTTATTTGTCTTTATGGTGGTCCATGGTATTTGTAAAATTCTCCTCCAGCACCATATTTCGAATGAGGTGATTCCCCACCACCACCACCACCATCAGCTTTCTTCATTGTCCAGCTTTCACATCAGTATATAGAATTTGGAAATGCTAAGGAATGGATGATCCTGACTTTGGTGTTTAACAGTATATCTTAATCCTTGATGATTTTATCACATTCATTCATAGATGCCCTTCAAAATCTTAATGTTCTTTTGATAACATGACTATAACCTCCATTTCAATCAATGCCTGTGCCAAGATATAGACAATCTTTTACAATTTTGATGGCTTCACCATCTACTTTAAAGTTGCATAAATCTTCTGTGAACATTATTTTTGCCTTCTTAATATTCAGCTTACGGACTGTGTGATATAGTGGTTTGAGTGTTGGACTGTGACTCTGAAGACCAGGGTTCAAATCCCTGGGCGTTTTCAAACGCATGGGTCTAAAGCCACCTGGAAGCAATGAAGAGCCATTCTGGCGGTGAAAACAGCAGCCGCCGGAATGGCTCCTGATTGTTTCCGGCAGCAGCAACTCTAATTCCTTTTAAGAAAAGGAATTACAAACACCGGGGCTGATGCTGGCCAGCGCCGGGGATGGCGCTGGATGGGGCGGGGCGGGGGCGCGGCTTGCTGCGACGTCATGTGAACACGTGCAGCAAGCCCCGGACTGACGCAGGATAGCGCCGGGGATGGCGCTGGATGGGGCGGGGCTTGCTGCGACGTCATGTGAAAAATTTGCCAAAGGAGCCAGAGTGGGGCCGGACGGAGGTAGGATTGCGTCCTCCTAAAGCCCCGTGTGAAAACGTCCCCTGCTTGACTACAGAAACCAACTGGGCAAGTCACACTCTCTTAGCCTCAGAGGAAGGCAATGGAAAACTCCTCTGAACAAATCTTGGCAATAAAACTGCATGACATGGCCTTAGAGTCATCATAAGTCAGAAATGACTTGAAGGCACACAGCAACAACAACAACTGTTCAGCTGCAACCAAATAAATAAACCCTGCTTTTGCACTTCCTTCATTAACCAGTTATTGTCCCAGGTCTTTGTTATTTCTTTGCTAGCAATATAGTGTCGTCTGCACGTCTTAAATTGATGTTTCTTCTTCATTTTCACATGTCCTTCATCTAAATCTAATTCTTCTTTCTGTGTGATCTCCCAGTTGGTTGGTTCAGATAGCACCTGTTATGTAGAGATTAATGCCTATTGACAATTTTTACAACCATTACCTTGAGAGCCCAGTTGTGAATATTAGATATTAGGGCAGGGGTTCTTAACCTACAGAGTCCATTGATGGGGGTCATAGACTCCATGGCTTGAGTATAATTATATTATAATACTCTACAGTTTCAATTTCTTATTTGTCTTCTAATTGAAATTTACCTTTGAACAAAATTGAAGTTTACTTTTTATTATATTTGCATAATTTGGATTTATTTTGGGGAGGAGAGTGACCACTAATTTTTGTCTGGGTGAATGAGAGAGACACGATTCTTTGCAAAGATTGTTTTTATAGAGCCTTTACA